TGACCATGGCCAAGGGAGCCGTCCAAGGGGGCCTGGACACATCAAAAGCTGTCCTCATAGGCACCAAAGACACAGTGTCCACTGGGTTCACGGGGGCAGTGAACGTGGCCAAAGGCACAGTCCAGACCGGCCTGGACACCACCAAGACCGTGCTGACTGGCACCAAAAACACTGTGTGTGGTGGGGTGACCGGAGCCGTAAATGTGGCCAAAGGAGCCGTCCAAGGGGGCCTGGACACCACAAAGTCTATGGTAATGGGCACCAAGGACACAGTGTCCACTGGGCTCACGGGGGCAGTGAATGTGGCCAAAGGAGCCGTCCAAGGGGGCCTGGACACCACAAAGTCTATGGTAATGGGCACCAAGGACACAGTGTCCACTGGGCTCACGGGGGCAGTGAATGTGGCCAAAGGAGCTGTCCAGACCGGCATGGACACCACCAAGACCGTGCTGACTGGCACCAAAGACGCTGTATCTACTGGACTTACAGGGGCAACGAACCTGGCCAAAGGCACAGTCCAGACCGGCCTGGACACCACCAAGACCGTGCTGACCGGCACCAAAGACGTCGTTTGTAGTGGGGTGACCGGAGCCGTGAATGTGGCCAAGGGAGCCGTCCAAGGGGGCCTGGACACATCAAAAGCTGTCCTCACAGGCACCAAAGACACAGTGTCCACTGGGTTCACGGGGGCAGTGAACATGGCCAAAGGCACAGTCCAGACCGGCCTGGACACCACCAAGACCGTGCTGACCGGGACAAAAGACGCAGTGTGTAGTGGGGTGACCGGAGCCATGACCATGGCCAAGGGAGCCCTCCAAGGGGGCCTGGACACATCAAAAGCTGTCCTCACAGGCACCAAAGACACAGTGTCCACTGGGTTCACGGGGGCAGTGAACGTGGCCAAAGGCACAGTCCAGACCGGCCTGGACACTACCAAGACCGTGCTGACCGGGACGAAAGACACAGTGTCCACTGGGCTCACGGGGGCAGTGAACGTGGCTAAGGGAGCTGTCCAAGGGGGCCTGGACACATCGAAAGCTGTCCTCACAGGCACCAAAAACACAGTGTCCACTGGGCTCATGGGGGCAGTGAACGTGGCCAAAGGCACTGTCCAGACCGGCCTGGACACCACCAAGTCCGTCCTGACCGGCAGCAAGGACACCGTGTGTGGTGGGGTGACTGGAGCCGTGAACGTAGCCAAAGGAGCTGCCCAGGGCGGCCTGGACACTACCACATCTGTCCTCATGGGCACCAAGGACACAGTGTCCACTGGACTCATGGGGGCTCTGAATGTGGCCAAAGGGGCCGTCCAAGGCGGCCTGGACATCACCAAGACCGTGCTGGTCAGCACCAAAGATGCAGCCACAACCGGGCTTGCAGGGGCAGGGAACGCGGTCACAGATGCAGCCCACACTGGTCTCAGCACTGTCCGCAAGTGGCTCCCTGATACCCAGGATACCATCTGGGATGGATCTACCAGCTGCAAGACCACAGAGAAAGGCAGGGAACACCATGCCCTGAGACCCCAAGAGGCCCTGTCGTCCGGGGCCTCCAGTTTCTCGGACCCACTTGGTGCAGGCCTGCAGTTGGCTGGGGAAACCACAGCTGCCTGCAGGAGCCTGGAGTCTGACACGGCCACGGGCACTCACGGTGGCCACCAAGGAGCCACCAGCTCCACGGTGCTCCCGGACGAGCTGGAGGGGCTGGGGGAGATCTTCCAGCCCATGAGCGCTGAGGAGCAAGGTGAGGCCATGCTGGGGAGGGCACATCCCTGCTTGAGGTGGGTTCATGAGGTGGCCGTGGCTCCAGCCAGGCGTCGGGCTTCGGTGAGACCCAAGCACAGATGCCCTGGCTGAGTCACTTGCCTCTTTCCCCAGCCCGACTGGCAGCCTCTGAGCCCGGGCCCAAGGTGCTTTCGGCCGACCAGAGGAGCTACTTTATCCGTCTGGGTGACCTGGCCGCCGGCTTCCGCCAGCGAGCTTTCGAACATGCCCTGAGCCACGTGCAGCACGGCCAGTTCCAAGCCAGGGACGCTGTGGCCCAGCTCCAGGACTCCTTCCGGGCGGTGAGCGGGGCCCCTCCCTCTGCCTTCCACGGCGAGCCCATGCACACTTGCAACTCTGCACGGCGCCCGAGTGCCCTCTTGGCAAACCCACCAAGTGCGGAGAAGACAGACAGCCAGGCGATGTCCAGGAGCGGGCGGGGACGGTGGGACAGTGCGCCCTGAGAACAGGCTGGGTGTGCTGGCAGTAGAGACCCAGCAGTGGCGGGGAGCAGTGGAGGTGTGGTTGGGGTTGGAGAACCCCAGGCTGGACGCTGGAGGGCAGCTCAGCAGCGTCTGGGGGCCAGGCATCCCCACCGTCCTCTGGCACTGTGGACACGGGCATCCTGGGGACTGCAGAGTGCTGAGTACCCTGGCCTCCACCTGGACCCCCAGTCGTGAGGCCCTCTGATCTCTCAAGGGAGGCACTCAGCTAACACCGGGCAAGAAAGGAAGGAGCGCACCATGCCGTCACCTGCTGCAAACAGCTACGCAGAAAGCATCTTTCTGCCTTTGGATCCTCACAGCAAAGTACACTGGGCAAGAATTGAGCCCCAGCATCCTCTGAGGCCAAGAGCAGGCGGAGAGAGCACTGCTCAGGGGCACACACAAAGGATGCTGGGAGTGCAATCCAGATCAAGCATTAGTCATTCAGTAGCAAACAGTGAATGCTTGGGGACACCTGGGAATAAGACCCAAGTCTCCTCCTGCGGGGGCTGCTACAGTGTATGAGGCGCTCGGCCTGGACGACGCCTGGGAACACAAAGATGGCAAGGACGAGGCAGTGGCAGCACTGGGGTGATCACTGTGAAAGGGGACACTTGAGACAAGATCGAAATGGGCCAGGGATTTAGCTCAGTGGTTCTGCTGCTTGCCTCTCAAGCTCAAGGACCGAAGTTTGATCCCTGGTACCAAAAAAAAAACCAAACCAAACCAAAACAAAACAAAAAAAATCCCAAAAGACGAGATCAAAGTCAGAGCTGGATCTGAAGAAAGTAGCATTCCAGGGGGAGGGCACGACTGTGCAAAGGCCCTGGGACAGCTTGGAGCCGGGCTGTGTGGCCAGAGCAGAGTGGGAAGGGGAGGCAGGGAGGAGATGGTTGGCCTTGCAGGGCTGCAGGGGACTTGGGCTCTGGCCCCAGGAAGGTGGAGCCATGGTGGGCGGAGGGACAGCCTGACCCGATAGGTGTTATTTAAGAGGGTAGGGTCACATGGGGGTCAAAAGCAGGAGCTGAGATGCATGAGGACTCGAGGAAGTGATGCAGGACCTCAGGAGTAGCCCTGGAGGTGATGCTGTGGGCGGGGATTCAAAAGTGGGGCCACCCAGGTCTGCAGACAGGTTAGACGTGTGGCATGAGGGCAGACAGCAGGAACAGGGGGCGGCTGCGTGGGGCCAGCACACAGAACACCCCCAAGTACCCCCAGGAGGCCATATGCTCCTGCTTTGCTCTCTTACCAGATTGAAAAAGCCACGCAGGCTCCTGAAGGGAAGTTGTGCCTGAACCCGGGCTGGAACGCCCCAGTGGAGGACGCTGGGTCCTCAGAGGTAGGTGTGGCACAGGCAAGCCGCCCCTGCCTGGTACCTGAGGTGGACCAAATATAGGTGAGCCCTAAGCCGGGCGTGGTGGCACACGCCTGTCATCCCAGCACTCGGGAGGCTGAGGCAGGAGGATCATTGTGAGTCCGAGACCAGCCTAGGCTACATAGTGAGTTCCAGGTCAGTCTCAACTACATAGTGAGACCCTGTTTCAAAAAACCAAAAAAAAAAAAAAAAAAAAAAAAAAAAGGAAGAGAGAAAAAAAAAAGAGAGAGAGAGAGAGAGAGAGAAATATAGGCAAGCCCTGCCCCACACCACCCTGCCCCGGCTCACCTCCACACTTATTGATCCTGCAGGTGTTGGCCAAGGTCTGCACGCTCATCTGGCAGCTGCACACAGCCTACAGCAGCCTGGCCACTGGCCTGCAGGGCCTGCCCGAGTACCAACGGCAGGTGGGCCGGGCGCGGCACAGCCTCTGTGATCTCTACGGCATTGTATCCTCGGCGGGCTCTGGTGAGGAGCTGCCGGCTGAGCGCCTAGCACAGAGCCGAGAGGGCATGGGCCAGGCATGGCATGGGCTGGAACAGCTGCTGGAAGGCCTGCAGCACTGCCCACCCCTGGGCTGGCTGGTGGGGCCTTTCGCCTTGGCCCCCAGCACGCAGCAGGTGTAGTAGACACCACAGACCAGGTGCAGGCGTCTCCCTGCCTGCCCACCTGGGGAGCCCCTTCAAAACCTTCTCCCCTTCCTGAAGGTCCTGGTCCCGCAGGCTAGAGCCGGGCAGACCCCAAGGACTAAAGGGACACAATTTCTGAGTTCCACCACCTCGTACCAGGCCAGGCCTGCCTGCACCTCCTGTCCCTTTTCCAGATGCCCCTGATCGAGGACTGTGGCCTCCAACTGAAGGTGGCAACTGGGCCCCCAGTCAGGAGAGAGCCAGATGTGTGGCCAGTCTGAAAGGGCCCACGTGCCCTCGCTATGCCCCTTCTATCTCTGGGGACTCTTCTGCTGCCACAACGGGGGTGCCTCCTGAAAGTGTGGTACTAGTCGCTATGCCTTCTAGCTCTGGGGACTCTTCTGCTGCCACAACGGGGGTGCCTCCTGAAAGTGTGGTACTTGGACAGATCTGGGTGAGGGTCTGGGCTGACAGCCACCGAGGCCCTGTCCTCCTCAGGGGACGCTGACAGACGGGCCATGGAAGGGGAAGCTGGGGCTGGAGAGGGTCTGAGAATGTAGCAGGTGGCACCCCACCTCCCAGGGCTCAGCCCCCGCCCTGCTGGCCCACAGGCCCAGGGAGCCCAGAGCTCTCAGGACGGCTCCTGCTGCCAGCTTCACTCACAGCCAGGGCTCGGATCTGCGGCCCATCCAATGCCCGCAGGCAGGGCCCAAAGCCCTGCTCAGCTCCCTTTACTGGAACTCCACAAACTCCGGGCCCTGGAGAGGCAGGACAGGCAGCTAGCTTGTCCCTGGAGGTCCCTGTGAGCGCCAGGAGCTGCGAGGGCCAGGCTCATATCAGCCACAGGAGACAGGGCCGTGACACAGTCAGCCTTCTCGAGACTTTCCTTCGGCAGCCTGCCATAAAGCCACCACGGGCTGTGACACTAGACAGGCGTTCGCAGTAACCACACTCAGCACCTTGAGCTCCCGTCCACCGAAACCACACAGGGACCAGGGCTCGGGAAATCTGTGCTCTACACACCCATCTCCTGCTGGGAAAGGGAACCCGGCCATCCCCTGAAGGGGCCCACACTAGGCCTGTGCCAGAAGCCGTGTGCACAGCCCACCTGCATCCACACCAGTGCCAGGAGATGGGGTCACCTCTCCCACACCGATGATAGCAGAGAGGCCCAGAGGAGGAGGGGTAGGTGTCCAATGCCACACAGCAAGCCAGGAGGGAGCCGGAGGGGCTTGGTCCCTCATGACGGACAACCCACAGCAGCCCTCCGGTCCAGAGTGCCCTGAGATGGCACCAGCAACCTGGTCTTGCCTGGGCCCAGAGCCACCTTTGGCCTAGGTGGGGTGGCGGCGTGGTTGAGTGAGCGAAGACCTAGACTCTGTGCCGACTTCCAGGACCTCAGCCCGGCCCTGCCCTCCCTGCCATCTCTGTCCCTGCTTGGCCTGCCCTGGTCCCCGCTGCCCTGGCCCGCTGTCCTCTGTCACCGCCTGCTGCTCACGGCGGCCCTAAGGTGTGACCCTCTGCCCCACAGGGGCCCTCTGACAGCTACGAACTGCTTTCTCTCACCGCAACTGCTCCAGCAACGATAGAAAACCAAGCCAATAAAAGTTATCTTTTTCATTAAAAAACCCTTTATAGTCATTTCATGTCGGTCAGAAATCACAGAAATTAGGCAGAAAAAACCCAAGGGACAAATACAAACAAACAGCACAGCGTTTCCCCAAAAGTTCCCTGCCCTGTGGGGCCGGGAGCAGCCGGGCACCTCGCCGGCGGCTCAGCTCTCCTCATCCAGGGACTCTGAGTCCAGCCGTGCCCTCTCGCGCTCCTGC